AAATTAAGGTCCCAATGCTTTATACGTATCCAGGATCTACTTTCTGTAGCTTTTAGCAGGAAAAAACAAGTATATCCACAAAAGAATGTAAGCAAAGCGAAGCGCAAGCAGCAGAGCGTCTGCACTGTAAGAAAGCCGGAAGCAGACAAAAAGTTCTGAACGGATTTTGATGAAATTTTCAGGAAAGGTTGATAATGGGAAAAGGAACAGATAAAATTTTGGTGGTGATCGGTTGAAGCGAAGTGGATAAAATGATAAAATGGCGGGAAATCCGAGCTGCTGGGCGGAGGTCTGCGCTCTCAGAGTGCTTTTCTAGTTTTTATTATATTTGTCTTATAATTGTGTCAATCTGAATATCAGTCCCTCCGTACACATCACAGTAACTACACACAGGTCAAAGGTATACACTGGACAAAATCAAACCTGATTGGTCGACTGTCTGAACGATGGAAAATGACTTCCACTTGTTTTATTGGGAAAAATGAATGTTTTATAAAGTGTGGACAAGTGTGTCATTGGACACACTAACTACACATACATGACTAACTAAAGAAGATCATCCCACAGAAAGACTCCTAACTTTTAATTACTCAAACTAGTCCATAACATATGTGTTATGTGTAGAGGTATAAGAAATCATAAACACTATATTAGAGGAGATTCAAAATGAGAGCACTGTAAATGCACTATGTAGTAAATATCAGTGTAAGACAAACAATGCACATTGTATTAAGAAACATGCTTTATGGTAAAATACATGGAACATAGTTTTGGCTGACGGCACGGAGGCACAAGGGCACACAGGTACACAGGTACACAGGCACGCGGGCACACAGGTACACAGGTACACAGGTACACAGGCACGCGGGCACACAGGTACACAGGTACACAGGTACACAGGCACGCGGGCACACAGGTACACAGGTACACAGGTACACAGGCACGCGGGCACACAGGTACACAGGTACACAGGTACACAGGCACGCGGGCACACAGGTACACAGGTACACAGGCACACAGGCACACAGGTACACAGGCACACAGGCACACAGGTACACAGGCACACAGGTACACAGGCACACAGGTACACAGGCACACAGGCACACAGGTACACAGGCACACAGGTACACAGGCACACAGGTACACAGGCACACAGGCACACAGGTACACAGGCACACAGGTACACAGGCACACAGGTACACAGGCACACAGGCACACAGGTACACAGGCACACAGGTACACAGGCACACAGGTACACAGGCACACAGGCACACAGGTACACAGGCACACAGGTACACAGGCACGCGGGCACACAGGTACACAGGTACACAGGTACACAGGCACACAGGCACACAGGTACACAGGCACACAGGCACACAGGCACACAGGTACACAGGCACACAGGCACACAGGCACACAGGCACACAGGCACACAGGCACACAGGCACACAGGCACACAGGCACACAGGCACACAGGCACACAGGCACACAGGCACACAGGCACACAGGCACACAGGCACACAGGCACACAGGCACACAGGCACACAGGCACACAGGCACACAGGCACACAGGCACACAGGCACACAGGCACACAGGCACACAGGCACACAGGCACACAGGCACACAGGCACACAGGCACACAGGCACACAGGCACACAGGCACACAGGCACACAGGCACACAGGCACACAGGCACACAGGCACACAGGCACACAGGCACACAGGCACACAGGCACACAGGCACACAGGCACACAGGCACACAGGCACACAGGCACACAGGCACACAGGTACACAGGCACACAGGTACACAGGCACACAGGTACACAGGCACACAGGTACACAGGCACACAGGCACACAGGTACACAGGCACACAGGTACACAGGCACACAGGCACACAGGTACACACATACACATGCAGCACGGACAAAGAATGAAAGAAACAGCGCAATGTTTAATTTGTAATGTTTGTAAGCTAATGTCAGTAATGTGAAAATATGTCATGGCCGGCTCGCGCACATGTTCGTCCAGTAAAATAATTACCTTAGTCTTCAGCAAGTGTTGGTGCTTGAAATTGCATGAACTGTGGTCCGAGCGCATCCTGAGCTAAAAAGGGACGAGATGGTCGCAGGTATGTTTAGTTTGCCTCTAATGTAACATAGGCTATAACGTTATATGACAACACAGCATCAGTTGCTAATGGCTAACGTTAGCCTACTGTAGCGTAGCCTCTGAAACATTAACGTTATCTTACTTGTGCGTTTCGACTTATTCGTAACGTTAACGCTACTATCTAACGTTAGCACTGTAATCTTATTCTAAAACTACCGTTACACTCACTCTCCTCCTCCGTGTGTCTAACGTTACCATGCCAACGCCTACATCTATCATAGACGTCATGAGGATGTAATGGAGGAGGGAGGAGTAGGCCTCTGGAGGGAGGTGGAGTTGTGGATGTGCTGTGTGAAATGCGAGAAAGGTAAGAGTAGCTTTAAAAGGTGACTTACTGAGTCTGACATTTGCTTTTTACGTGTAATGAATTATGTATATACAGATAATAAACATTAATGCTCTATTATTAACTCCTGTGTGTGTTTTTAACAACTGTTATGTTCTTACCTCATTTTGAAGCACTCATATTAATGTTATTGTTTGTGGAATTAATATAGAGTATAATGCTTTTATTATTTTAGTACTTTTTTAATCACTTTTTACATCTTGATGGATGTGTTAAGTCCATCTACAAAAAGTGACCTACTTTATCATTTCTATTTTTAATTTGAGCAATATCTCACAAGAGGGAGTGACGTTGGACTGTATATCGTCACGGCTGTGAGTCGGTCATAGAAGACAATCACAGCCGTGATGATATACAGTCCAACGTCACTCCCTCCAGTGTGATGTTGCTTTTATCCAACAGGTCAACAACAGCTTAAACAGCAATGCTGAGTAAGGAAATGTTAACAAAAGGTGATGAAATAAATTATTTAAGTATGTTATGTAGCTCCACAAAAAAAAACAGTTCCCCCGGTCTGTTGCCAGGCAACGCAGCACACACGCCAGGAACTCACAAACTACATTGTATTTACATTGATCTGCAGCTGTGTAACTTCGTCCAGTTCAAACCTGGATGTTGGCACGGCCGGACTCAAACACACCTGGAGGTCTGCACACAAGAGTCCTGGCTTTCCTTTTCCTCGTCCTCTCCTGACGACCTCTCACAATTTAATTCACATGTAACTTTGGGGGAAATATCCATCTTCTTGGTGTAACGCTATAGTGTCAGTTTGTGTCAGTGTAGCAAGTGTGACAGCTGGTTAATTAAAGGTTGTGTTTATATTTATAACACCTGTGAGCGGAGTGATTTTACTGTTACATGTCCCAGTGATGTTATACTCTATATCAGCACTCATGGACGGAATGCCTCTCGTCCAATCAGATTACTCGGTCGGGACTAACTGTTGTATAATAACGTTTTTATTATGTTACAGATATTTATATTAGGTCTGTCATTTTAACTCTGCTTCTCACTTTATTCTTATTCATATTCCACCTTGAAGAGAGGCTGTGTAAAAAAAAAATCTGTGTTAATTTTTAAATTAACCAAACAGTTTTAATGAAGAATCATTTTAAAGTATATTTTACACCCAAGCCTGTTGTGCCTCAATCAACACTCATTAGAGTGTTTTTAACAAACAACTGACTAATTAAACATACTTTACTAACTATCTAACTAAACATTCTTGACTGAATAAATGTATTTGATAAACTAACTATACTTTAATAACTTCACATACGTGAATAAATAAGTCACTAAATTTGGCTAATGATTGATTAATTAACAAAAACAAATCTGTTATAATTCATCTCCATGTTCTGTGTTTCACTAGCAGTTAAAAACTTTCCTCTTTCTCCGTCTTCTACTGTTACTGTAGGGAAGCAGCTGGTGCGTCCACCAGGGGGTGCTGCTGCTCTGCACAGACGTCAACACAAACAACAGTTGTTGTGTTTAAACTGATGAAGCCTTGAGGCAGGAAAAGTTGTGGATGGTCCCAACAGAAGCGTTCCTTAGCGTCCCCATGTTTGGTCCCCCCTCTGTTGGGGTACCTAGCACACAGATCTGGTACTAAAAGGTGGAGCTAGAAACCCTGCAGTCTGATTGGTCAGTAGAGGACGCTCACTCTGGTTTTATGTAACCTCTGTTCATACATCAGTAAACTACAACTATAAAATGAAAGAGAAAAAAATAACTTCATTCACTGGGCCGACTGCCGGCAACTTTTAAGGTGGAACGTTAACTTGTAATGTTACTCAATGCATGAGTTGATGACGTGAATCCATCAGCACACCTTAAATTTCACTGTGACAACTTTGAGCATCACTTTAGTTTTTATATGACACACACTTTTAGTAATGACTTTAAAAATATAGATTAATTTGGAGCGGATTATGTGAAGGTCATATATTCTAATCCTCACTTCCTGTGGGCTACAGCAACACTAAACCCCTGAGCTTGCCTGAGAAGGACTAAATGCACAAAGCTGCTATTTTTAAATATCCCATGGAGAGAGACTCTCACTGCAGCCTGTTCTATTTTGTTGTGAAAATGTGGGCGTGCAGCCTCGTTCTGTGGACGATAAACCAGGTGCAGACTTCCATCTGTGTCACCGCTGATGAGGAAATACAGAGAGTGCTGGACGGAGCAGTGAGTGACAACAACCCCGCCCACATTTAAGAGGACTGTCTGAACACACCGAGGGTCTAGGTACCATGTCTGAAGGCTTACTGCTGGTTCCAGAGGTGCTGGACTGAAAGGGTTTGGGCTGCAGAGACGTTCTGTGTTTGGTCTGAGTTGTACTTGTGTGGTTTCCTGCAGCACCTCTGGTTTGAAGATCTCTGATACTGAGGACAGGAGGAACGTGGATCAGGTTTACAGGGTCGGGGTCTGGATCCTGATGATCCTGGTTCCTAGAACATAAACAATAAAACACAGAGTCGTTCTGTAGAAAGAAAGGAAAACAGATTTATTCGTGTCAGATCCGTCATGATAACAGAGAGTAAAGGTCAGGATCCACATCGTCACAGTCGCAGCCTTTAAACTGAGGTTTGCTGTTGATGCATAGAGCTCTGCTGTGATTGGTTGATATGTCACATGACTTCAGATCATTGACAGGTGGAGAGTCCAGAAAGAGGACAGACATACGGGGGTCATGCTAGGTTACTAGGACTGATCTGGGGGGATTACAACAAGTCTGCTGAGAGAATAAATGGGTGTTCAAGGTGACTGAAGGGTCAGCCAAAGACCAGAGTCTCAAATATAGGGTCTGGAGTCCATGGTCTTGAGTATGGGGTCCAGGTCAGAGTCCAGAGTCTCAAATATAGGGTCTGGAGTCCATGGTCTTGAGTATGGGGTCCAGGTCAGAGTCCAGAGTCCCGAGTCTCAAGTACAGAGTCGAGAGTCGAGAGTCTCGAGTATGGGGTCCAGAAATTAGAGTCCTGAGTTCAGAGTCCAAAGTCCAGAGTCATGAGTATACAGTCCAGGGTTCAGAGTCCACAATCTACAGTATAGGACCCAGAGTCTAGAAACCAGAGTCTCGAGAGGGTTTTTAATTCTCCCTCATCCTGCTGGAGAGGAGCCTCACAGTGTGAAAACACCTGATCTACAGAGTCCAGAGTCCAGACGTAAAAAACAGTCTAGGCCAGAGTTGTATCCACATGGTGTCTTTGAGGAAACCACTGACCCCCTACTTCTTCCTGTAGGTCTGACCTTTGACCCTCTGCTGAGGTGTGAGGACAAATGTGAGGATTATCACCAGGTCCTGGTTTTGGTTTAAAGAGTCAAAGTTTGCTGAATGTAGAAAGAAACCTGCTGATTTCTGCAGGATTAACAGTCCTGGACTGGTACTACTGGATCCTGGACTGGTTCTGCAGGGTCCTGGACTGGTTCTGCAGGGTCCTGGGCTGGTTCTGCAGGGCCCTGGACTGGTACTACTGGATCCTGGACTGGTTCTGCAGGGTCCTGGACTGGTACTACTGGATCCTGGACTGGTCCTTTCTGAAGTGGTTCTAAGAGTTCTGGACTCAGTTTCCGGGTCTCAGCGATAAGTCTTTTTACTCCGACCATCCACTGACTGACTTCGGTCACATGATCGACCATCAGAGAGCGATGGATCTCATCAGCTGAGTCCCAGTGACCCGACTGTAGCTCTGAGAGACAGACAGGAAGACAGACAGGTGAGTACTGAGACAGACAGACATACAGACAGACAGGTGAGTACTAAGACAGACAGACAGGTGTATAATGAGACAGGTTACCTAGAGACAGGGTGTGCATGCGTCTCCTCACAGGCTGGCTGAGTCTACCTGACCTCCAGCTGTCCTCCAGGAGGCGGAGCCTCTTTGCCACATCGTTACACACCTGGTCCTGCACACAGAGGTCAAAGGTCACACAGTCAATCAGAGTTAAACACATGTTGTATGAACAGAGCAGGTACAGAGACACCTGGTGGTTCACTGTGGTACTGCAGAGACTCAGGGTGAAGGTGTGTGTGTGTGTGTGTGTGTGTGTGTGTGTGTGTGTGTGTCTTACTTTAACTGTGTGTCTGCAGGCAGCCAGCGCTCGGGTCAACACCAACACCACGCCCTCTACATCAGGCTCGCTCTCTGATTGGCTGCTGTCGGCCTCTCTCTGACTTCTCATTGGTCCCATAGGGGGAGGAGGTGTGACCACACAGCCCAGAGGAGGACGAGCTGTCGGGAAGAAAGGAGGAGTCTGCTGTCAATCAGGCTTGGCGTCGTGACAACACATTCTTCTTCGTCTCCTTACCTGGGTGTAGAGGGGGCGGGGCCACACCACTCGGGGGTGGGGCCAGAGGACTGGAGGAGGGAGGGGTCATGGGTGGGGATCCTGTACCTGAGGACCAATCAGAGAGCAGGTGTGTGAGAATGATAAAGGTAGAGTGACAGCAGTGTGGGCGGAGCTCTGTGTGACCAGGCCACCAGGAAGTGCGCCGGGCTTTGAAGCTAATATTTGTAGAGGACAATCAGAGGACAAGACGTCTGTCAATCAGTGACTTATTGATTCTGAACATCACAACACTCGAGAAGTGACTCGCCTCACTGCCAGGATTTTATCCTGATTTCGAGCCACAAGATTTAATCATTTTATCCCCACTCAAGTTAGCCAAGCACTAAACAGGAAGTAGTCGGCTCGGCCATCGTCAGTCTGTAGTGCAGCTGCTCTGTGCGCCCAACGATACATAGGCACCTCTGATCATCATCCAGGTGATTTCATACCACAACCGCCCCCAGCGCTGTATCCAGGTGTCTCTATACATCCATGGGTGCGATGCACACACAGAGCTAGCATGCTAATAACACTGTAAACTATGATGTTAGATGTTCACTGTGTCCTGACTCACTGCAGCCACGCAGCAGCTCTCATGACGGGCAGCTTGTATTTTTCATGGCAGACAACTTTATTAATCCCATCAGAGGCCAAATTGTTTGAACAGCTTCACACATAATATAACATGACATAAAGTAACGTGTAGACACATAAATATATAAATAATAAAAAAATAAAAAATGTGGCAATAAGTTCAGTGGAATAAAAGAATCTATACATAAATAATAAAAAGTTAAAAGACTGATTCTCAATAAAAGAACAATAAAAATTTACAGAGAATTTCAAAGACAGATTGCAGAGGAAATAAAGCAGGTAAACGTGACGAGGCCCTGATGGTGACAGAGAAAATTCACCTAAATGAACATGTTGTCCAGAAGAAGCTTAAAGAGTTGTGGCTCTGTGGAGGATTTGATCCCGTTGTGTCACTGCTGTGTGATGTCAGAGCAGCTTTTAACAAAGCTATTTAGCTGGTTTCTGTCAGTGTGAACCAGCAGAGGATGATGGGACTGACGGAAAAGGAATTTAGTCTATGAAGAAGGTGAATTATTTGCTGCCCTCGCTTCACAATATCTGCAGTGTTTACATCATCCTCCGGGTCCAAAGAATGAATCTAAACCTGCAGTTCCTCTAATGTCCACTAGAGGCTGGCTCCAACAGTGAGTCAGTCCCGACAGAGCTCCATGTTCACATGTAGAAATAAACATGTTTACAGCCTGGTGCGAAAACAAAAACCACTAACTTCAACCTTCTTTGACTTTGGTGTTTAAAGGGTTCATTCAGATTCACCACAGTGTCACATGACTGCCTGATGGAGGCAGCAGTACACCACCAGCTCCGTGTTCAGAGAATCTGTCTGTGAACTGTCCCTTTAAGAGACATGCTCCTCCCTCTCAGCTCGTCATCACTTCCTGCGGTGACTGTGCGCCAGCTGTAGGAGGAGGAGCTCACCTGGGCCCTATAGAGTGTGCCAGTAAACCCGGAACTCCGTTAGCGCTTTTAGCACTTCTGGTTCTCTCGTCTAAAAGTCAATACATTTTTTGAATGGGATTTTGGTAAAATGCCTCAAATAAGGTCTGTGGTTAACAAAAGCTTAAGTGAGTTTCAGCTTTTGTTCTACGACATAAAACACGTAAGTAAATACCCTACTTGTGAATTTTGAAGCTTTTACGTGTCGTAAAAAAGGCAGTTGCTAACAAGTTGCTCAATACGACTACAAACCCTGTCGGGGACATTAAACGTCATCACTCCCGAACAGGCGAGAGTGCTGGCAGTCCGCCATTACAGCTTCTTATTTAGCTTAAACAGTCCGATTTCCCCATTGTACAATGTTTTTAAAATAAAGCAGCTGAAATCAGTTGAAAGCTTAGTGGCGGTGACGTCAAGAGTCATGCGACCGTGGAGTAGTCATGTAGTCCGTTAAAGCCTAACGTTAGCTTTTTACTTCTGGCGATCGCATTTAAGCTTCAAATGTGGTATGAAAGGTGTTCATATGTGAAGATTATCTCGCTGAACAAAACCTGTAAGTATCATAAACTTGTGTTAGCCACAGAGCTTATTTTCTGACATAATCCAAAACGCAATGCAAAAATCACATTCACTTTCTCTTCCGGGAACCAGCGCGATGCTAAACTTCTGGGTTTTGACGTCAGCCGTGGCACACTCTATGTCAGAGAGCAGGATCAGTGAAATTCTGAGTTTGTTCAGCCTGAGATGAAACTCTGTTTTCTGTTTCACAAAACCAGCTCAGCGTAACAAACCCTGAGTTTGTTACTATGGCAACATACTCTGTGAAGCTAACCTGCTGAGTCACAGGTTTGCTTCATGTCAGCCTGAGGCTGAGCGTGTAGCAGGAAGTAGAAACATGGCGTGTCCTTTAGTGAATGAAGTGGTGGAGGTTGAGGCCCAGTGTATTCAGAGGCTGTTGTGTAAGGAGAAGGTGATTAGAGCCTGTTTGGATGTCTCCCTGGAGGAGTGTCTATATGAAAGATACTGTTTGACCTCACACTCTATCATTTATCTAACAATCTGTTCCACCCACATATATCACATATTACACATCCTGGATTTACATTATCATCACAGCACATTTTATGCATTGTCCTTTGATTCTTTTCTTTATAACATCAGAGGCACTGAACACATCAGAGAGACAACGGTTTGTCGGCCCGTAAGAAAAGTGTCTCTGGCACTGAAAAGACTTTGGACCCTTGTTGTGGTTTTCCCTGGACATAAATCACAATCCATTATTAAAGTAATTACCACGGAGCATCAGTGGCTCAGTGGATGGAGCAGACGCCCCGTGATCAGACGCTGATACGGCAGCCGTGGGTTCAAACCCAGGCTGCAGCCTCTCGCTGCGCATCGTTCCCTCTCTCCCTCAACATTACGCTGTTTTGCCATTAAAGGCAACAAAAGCCCGGGATCTTATCTAATCTTAAAAAAGAGGAATTCCAAAGAACTGCAGGTTTATCAGTGTTAGGGGTTCCCCCCCCCATTTTGCGGTCGTTAAAATCTCAGACTCAGCTGGGATGAAACAATCGGCTTTCTGCTTTCGGCCACTGAATATCACATTATCTGCACTCTACTGATGTCTTTCAGTGCTCGCCATGAACGCGCCTCTCTCAGGCTGAACATACCCAGAGTTGACTGAGCTGACTGTGATCAGCTGTTCTGGAATCAGCTCAGGCTCAGTCAACTCGGAGATCGGGATTAGGCTCAGAGTTTGTTGAGCCTGCTTCCTGAAATAGGGCCGTGAGGACACGCCCCCATATTGGACTGACTGAACGCTGAAGACAGATTTAACAGTGTATCACTGCCAACTTTGATATGGGATTTATTTTCTGATAAACAGTCGAGTTAAACTAGAATTACCACCCCGCAGCTGTATGACTCCGCCCATCAGTCTGTCCCATGGTTGTATGACTCCGCCCATCAGTCTGTCCCATGGTTGTATGACTCCGCCCATCAGTCTGTCCCATGGTTGTATGACTCCGCCCACCAGTCTGCCCCCTGGTTGTATGACTCCGCCCACCAGCCTGCCCCCTGGTTGTATGACTCCGCCCACCAGTCTGTCCCATGGTTGTGACTCAAGGTAAAGACACAAGTGAAGGAAGCGTGGATGTGTTTTAAGAGACGTGGGATGCAGCCCTGGTATTTTCTGACCTGGAGCTGCTCTCTTGTTCAGGAGGTTCCTCTGTGGTCCGCGGGCCATCTGAAGGCCGTAAGAGAACTGAGGGGGGTCGTTCCAACCCCGCTCCTGGTTACCTAGACAACACAGACACAGAAACAGGTTTACTGTTAAAGGACCAGCTCAACAATGTCCACCAGGTCCTCGTGCATCAGGATGATCTGAAACTATTTTTGTACAGCCGCAAACTGTCACAGCTGCTGAAAAAAAGTCTGGAGACAAAATGAGACGTTAAAGTGAGAGTGTGTGTACACAGACTGACAGTGAGATGTAGAGCACGTCCAACCAAACTCCACTGAGTTTTTAGCTAACTTTCCAATTGAGACAACATGACCTGACACATTAAGGAGCAGAGTTCACATTCAGAGGATCAAACACTAGGTTCGTTCGAGATGAGCCAGTCCTGCGCAGATTCGATCACCGGCGATCGTCGCACAATGCACGTCGGTTAGTTTTGTGTCTGACTTCATCCCGACTTGCTCTGACGTATTACAAAAGTGGACGGCGATAAAACCGTGAGACCAAGGCGAACGCAGTTTTTAGAGCCAGGCGCTGCAGCTGCTCTCCACCGACTGTACCGCCTGACTCTCACCTGATCTAACAGCTGATTGGTTTAGACGTCAACTCAACAAGATGACGTTTTAGATAAACTACTCATTTTTGTTGAATTCTAGAGATTAAGACTGTATTTGTCTGATCTGAAGGTTTATTATGTGAACAGAAAACATGTTGTGTGACTGATGGTGAAAACAAACTGATATATGGGTCTGATCACTTTTTTAATAAACTGACATCATTCCAGACAGGATGTTAGTGTGTCTGTGACTTCCTGTACGGACTGAAGGCCGCTGGAAACTGTCGGGAAACTGTCCCCCGCCCCCCGCTGCGGCCGCCTGCTCTCGTCTACTTTCCAGGCGAGGCGCAGTTCATCTCCAACGAGCCTGTTTTCTCCACGTCACCATAGCACATGCTAAACACATTTCAGTTGAATGAATCTGGATGAAGACAACAACAGGAGCACTTGTGATAAACCTTCTGTTTTACCTGGATCGTTACAGTTTGGTGAATTATTAATACGCTCAACTAAAACCAACACCATATTGATCCATGTGTGCTTTAATCACAGTTCACAGAGTGAGTCATTCTCGCCTTGTGGCTTCAGGGAACATTAACTTTTAACAGATGTTTGATTCCTGACTCTCTCACAGGTCAGACACACAGAGCAGCAGATGTGTAGCATCACCTGTCAGTACCTGAGTCACCTGAAACCGGCTCCAACTTCCGTCATTTAAACATCGACAGGGTCCGACCGGACTCCATTGATTTTGTACCTGTCTGTTCAGTCGGAACATGACTTGACACATTTAGAAATTGGACACGTTGTTCCACTAAATGCTGTATTTAGATCACAGGAAGTGTTTCAGCTCAGCTCAGTGTAACACTGTGACCTCACAGTTTGTCTACACCGCCACATTACACATACACAGCTGTTAAAATACTGAATCGCTGAGTAAATCACGATTAACAAAACAACAGTACAACCTCTAACAAACCTTCAGTTTTTACCTAAAACAACGATGTTTGGTGAATAACATGTGAGCCGAACTAAACCCAACAAACTATTAATTCATAAAAGCTTTGTTCATGTTTACAAAGTGAGAAATTATTGCCTTGAGACTTTGTGGAAAATTGACTTGACAGATTTTTGAACGCAGTTATGTCAGTGCCGCCCCATAACTCCCCTTCCAAGGATCACAGCAGCGGAAGTATCGTGCTAACAGTTAGCCAAACATGACAGAAGCTAATTAAATACGCCATTATTAATATTACCTTCATTATATAAGATATTCAGGAGCTGGACAGTCAAACTAACTCTCACCTGGTTTCATGTACATGTCCTCCATGTTGGACTCCACCGCGTCAAGCTGCTTCTTCTGACCGGTGTCCAGGCTAAGCTAACGGCTAAGCTAACGGCTAAGCTAGCCCGAGGCGTCCAGACAACATTAAAGGTTTAAATTAATATTTAATTATACAAAGATAAAACTCCCTCTGCGAATATTCCGTGTTTCTGTAGTTTAATCACAAGTTATCCGTGTTCACCACACGGCATAAACAAAACGACTTCCGCTACGAACTAAAAAATAAGAGCTAGTATATCAGACTTGTTTTTATTATGTTGTTTTATATACATTTCAATTTACATATACATATATACATATATATGCAATTATTGTATTTTATTATTGTATCTGTTTATTTTATTATTTCAGTTTTATTTATTTATGTCTTTAATTATTTTGCACAACCTGCAGAAAGTTTCCTTAAAGTTATGAAACAGCTGTATTGTAAATATTTAGATTTTATTTTTGTTACAGTACTTTTAAAAGTGTCTTTGCCATATTTCTACTGTACCTTTTCTAACTATATTTATGGTCTTTAGTTCTGCACTACTTTACCTTATTTGCGTTTCCTCCTAATATTGTAATTGTATGGTTTATGTACACATAAAAAAAGTAAACAAAGTAAAGTCCCTGTAAGTGAAAACCTAATAAATAATAAAAATATAAATGTTATTCATTTATTTATTGTTAAAAACATGCTTATTCAATATTTCTGTGTGATAACATTTTGTTTTATACTGTTGTAATGATGCAATAAAATCTGAACAAATAAAAAAATGTGGCCTAAATGTTTGAGTGAAACATAACATTAACATCTTATTTAAGAATTTAATTTTAAATTTGTCACTGCAAAATTAAATAAAGCTGACACATGATGATGATTTCTTATTTTTATGTATTCTATTTATCTATATGTTTGGTGAATAAACAGTTGAAGCTGGCTGACAGAAAAGTAAGTCGACTGATAAAGTTTATACCAAATATCAAACGCCACAGCTTAATTTTTTAAAAATGTATTTTTAATTTTGATCAGTATCAAATATAAGTATTTACAAATACATGAGGAAGTACAGCATCATTTGAGTTAGGATTTTGCCAATATATGTCTTCTTTAATAACAATAACAATAACATTAGTAATTATCACTTGTACTTTGTTGTTTCATTCTTTGTAGTCACAATAAACTTCAGGCTTTTATTTTGCAGGAATACTGTTATGACTTCCTGTGATGTTCTTGAGCTTCACTGCTCTCTGCTGTCCAAACATTTCCGGGACACGTGGCCACCAGTGTCATATCTACTATGACGTCACCCGGGCTCGTCTGACCTCTGCAGATAAAAACATGTTTGTTTGTGGTTGAAGACATAAAGGTGTGTTTGTGATCGGTGTCAGTGGTTATTGATGATCAATACTGAAACAAAGTTTATATAAACACACAGTTATAAATGTTGTGTCAGATGTTTCTGTGTTCTGAACAAAAATAAAACCTGCTGTTTGATTCATCCTGATAAACGACGTCTAAAAATAGAAATCCACATCAGAGGATTAAAAAAACCTCCAGTTTCACACAGAGTGGGGTCACGTGACACAGACTCAAACAGATAAATAAGTAAATACTTGCAACTGCACATAAACATCAGTCAGCTGTTCTGTTAAAGAACCACTGAGTCTTTACTGAGAACATCATTTATCACAGTTCAACAGTGACGTCACCGCAGTGGTTCAACATGTCACTGTGCTGCAGTGATGTCACACAGTACTCCAATTATTAAATTAATTAAAATTATTAGAATTATTAAATGCAGTGTTACAATGCTGAATTTCACACGCACATTTATTTTTTTTTTCATTAGTATTTTATTTATTTTAAGATTTTATTGCCTTTAGAAAAATATAACAACTTTCAGGATTTATTGTAGCTTGCAGCTTTATTCTACAAATATGTTCATATGAATAGGAATATCTTTTATACGTTTGCGCTCCTCCGAGAACCGTCACTCCTCCGAGAACCGTCACCTTATCGTGGTGGTGGAGTTTGAGTGCCCTAATAACCCCAGGAGCTATGCTACCGGCTAGATATAGTCGGCCTCACCTCGACACATAGTTCCGGCTCTGGAACCCAAGTCCTTGAGAGGGTTTGGACTCTCTCCTTTGCTGGAGTTGCTCCGGGTGAGAGGTGGAGGGCCGGGGTGGGCTTTCTGATAGCCCCCAGACTCTCTGCCTGTACGTTGGGGTTCACCCCAGTAAACGACAGGGTTGCGTCCCTGCGCCTTCGGGTCGGGGAACGGGTCCTGACTGTTCTCTGCGCTTATGCTCCGAACAGCAGTTCAGAGTTGGCTAAACGTAACCACGTGTGTGTGTGTGTCGGCCAAACGTAATCATGTGTGTGTGTGTGTGTGTGTGTGTGTGTCTCGGCTGAACGTAATCGTGTGTGTGTGTGTGTCGGCCAAACGTAATCGTGTGTGTGTGTGTGTGTCGGCTGAACGTAATCATGTGTGTGTGTGTCGGCCAAACGTAATCATGTGTGTGTGTGTGTGTCGGCCAAACGTAATCGTGTGTGTGTGTGTGTGTCGGCTGAACGTAATCATGTGTGTGTGTGTCGGCCAAACGTAATCGTGTGTGTGTGTGTGTGT